AGTTTAGTCAGGTTTCTGTACTTGAGTACAGTGAACTCTTATCAACACCTGTACAGTTCTTAATAAATTCATTAGACCACCGCACAATGAAAGGTTTATTTCTCAGCTACACTAAATTAACAGTATTAGTAATGACCAAAATCATTTTTTATGTTTCTGTAGTGGTTGTTCCACCAGTATGTGCAATCTCTTTAATCAGAATTGTATTTTTAATACTAAAATGTACATTTTCAAATGTACTGCTTGACGAAAAACTCAAAATATAGTAATGTCCATGATTATTTTTTGATTCACATGCCGAATTACAGTTATTTACACGCATTTATGAGCAGAAAAAATTGTTTTAGAAGTTAAATGTCACACTTGATTAATGTCTGACTTTTTTCTGAAACTCAGTTAGTTTTTTCTGTTTTTTCCCCCCTAATCAATACCGATATAGTTTTTAGTTTTACACAAAGCTTTGACAGATTTTTAAAAATATTTCTGTTTTCTTGGTGGTCTATAAAAAATCGTGTCAAGCAATGAATGCATATGGCTTATTAACACTTTCTCATCCCTGTACCGATACCCATGCAGTTTCTGCTGATCCAATACAGTCTTTTTCACTTTCGTGAGCAACTAAAATACTAATACAAAGAAACAAAAACTAGATAGAATCAACACTCAGTCTAACCACTATCTAAATTCACAGATTAGTTAAGCTTTTGTGCATTCTATCAGATTTCTTTTTTCTTTTTATTATCTGATGCTTGTTTTCCTCTGACACCACTGCTCAAAACAGCAAGCAAACACTTTGATTCAGCAATACTTGGAATTAAAAAAAAATGCATTCAAACCATTTTTTTAAACTTGTGAAAGAGTTTATTTTTGGATGTTTCTTCCTTTGGTGATAGTTAATACTTCCAGTATTGTATTCACAACAACAATCTCTGTTTTCTGCAATCACGATCACCTTATACTCATGGATGATTATTCCATGTAGGGTTAAACAAACCTGATCCCACCTGATAGCCTCATAATCAGCTAATTTATTTATAATTTTAGTTAATGTGAGTTATATAATAATTACAAAATTTGAACTTCATATTATGAACATGTTCTGAGTTTCAGGCCCTCAGAGTACATAGAGGTGGGTAGTGATTTGGTCCCATATCTGCCATGTGTGACTGTTAAAAACTGTAACCAAATCTAAAGCCAAAATCATGTTTTAGCCCAGCATGTTAGAGACTCAAAGCAGCCTAATATAAACAACAGTAATGTTGAAATAATATTAAAAAAAAAGTAAAGCACATCACTGCATTTACCATTTATTTTAACTGCTGTTTACAGCAGCAGGTCAAACTTATGTATGTTTATGTATGTTTGGTTCCCTTTTCCCAGAACCAGTTCAGTGTCTCGGGGGGGAAATGCAGTTTCGTAGCAGAAAAAGCCGTTTCAGTGGAATTCACTGAATACATTCTCTGTAGTTACCAGGCTTAATGATAGCGACGGTCGCTTTGAGGTGTCTGCACAGAGCTGAAACGCTACTAAAAGACAATATCAGCCACAGTCTGATCACCCTGCTGCCCTGTGGCAAGGGATACAAAAGTGTTTGCTGCTGAACCACAAGACTTTGAAGCCGTTTGTTTCATCAGTCTGAGACGACTCATCCACCACATTCCACCACAAACCTTTATTTCTATGACTTAATTATTTATTCATTAATTTATATCTTTTGTTTGGTTTTTTTGTGAGTAGCAAAGGGGATGTTTTAAAAAAACCCAGCCTTGTTTTGATAATTAGAAATTACCACCGAGTCTCGAACAGGTGAGAAACGTCGTGCCAACTAAATTTACAGCAGATGAAAGATACACGAAGTGGAAAAAGCAACACAAATGGAAAGAACTGCTCCATTATTTCATGATTGCATAGAAAACTGCAGGTAACCACTAAAAAGGAAACATTTTTTGTGGTTTCTGCAGCACGACATTTCATACTGGTTAAGTGGTTACTTCATATGAAACGCCACAGTGAGCTGAACCTTCCCTTCCTGCAGCAAATTTGTGAAACAAATTTAAAACATATGAGGTGGAGGAGTGAGATATCTGAATAAGCAGGCACTACTGCATCAGAGACCCTTCTGCTGCATTGCTTTCCTGACTTGGAGTATGTAGCCACACTAGTATGCTTTTATATTTAAAAGGTGTAAATGTTACTCCAGAAAACCCTAAAACACAGACTTGTGATATCAGTGCTGACCTAGTTTTAGTTTCCATACTCTGGGATTGTTTTATAGTTAGACTGGAGACAGATTCGCTCCCTGACTGGGGCTTATCGCTCTCAGAAAATAAACATTAAAGCCAGGCTCACATATGCCTGGCGATGTAAGTCTTCTCACGTCTGTATTCATTTTACATTTTTGTGTCATCACTTGATGATGGATACTCATCCCAGTAGGACTCTAATGTGTTGCTATATTCGCTTTGTAATGACGAATATACTTCAAGTGTCACAATTTCTAGCCAAAATCACATTTTGTTAGAATGACTTTTGCCAACTTTGAGGATCAGTATCATAAGCTATGTTGAAATTTAAATAGCAAAACTGAACTGCATTTTAAATGTTCCTGTGGGGTAGGGGGCTGTTCATGAAAGGTCTCCCTTTTACATTTATGATACCAGGATCATCTTCTATCTAAAGTTATTGTAGGGAAAAATGGGAATGTCGAAGGTGGTCCTCACAAAGGAATCTCTGGTCTTTCTTTTGAGTTCTTCTCCTGTAATATTTTCTGTGTCACTCTGCTTCCTGTCAATGCAGTCATTCGTGGATGGATATTATTTTTTGGGAAACTGTGGTAAAACGTCTGGACAGAGGATAAAGCCTCAGACTGAGGAATCTCCCTTGAATTCCCGTCTCAGTCAGAGTCTCAGTTTCACTTTTCTTTTTGTGTGGATGCAGGTTTTCCCCGGGTTTGGCCAACGATCCATCGCCTTCCACTGGAACCATTAAGAGACGCACACAGTCCCTCAGTGCACTGCCTAAGGACGGAGACAGAAAGGTCAGTCCGGAGTGCACCCAGTCAACCAGCAGACAAGATGTAAAAAATAGAAGTGGAACACCAGATGGTGATTGCTTGTTAAATGTCACTACAATAAACACTCGTGTCCTCTGCCAAACTTTAACCAGAGGGAAAAGGACCACATCCGCCGTCCCATGAATGCCTTCATGATCTTCAGTAAACGCCACCGGGCCCTGGTGCACCAGCGACATCCCAACCAGGACAACCGCACAGTCAGCAAGATCCTGGGCGAGTGGTGGTACGCTTTAGGGCCCAATGAAAAGCAGCAGTACCATGATCTGGCCTTTCAGGTAAACAAACACCCTCAAATTCTTCTTCTTTCCTTCTATTTTATTACTTCTGTGTTTTTTCTTGTAATGAATTGGTTAAATGTTTTGAATTGAGTTTACTGCTAACGAGTCTAACACGTTAGCTGCTGTAAACATCCAGTTTCAAGTGGCTTCTGTGTAATTATCCGATTTAAAAAAAACTGGGGGAAATTTCATGAGCTGTGAAATCTGCACAGCTGGTATTCAGAAACTGAAACTGCATCAACAGAAAGTTGAAGACCTTTTCTCCTCCTCCTCCTCCTCCTCATCTTTCTCCTCATTCAGGTGAAAGAGGCCCACTTCAGAGCCCACCCAGACTGGAAGTGGTGTAACAAGGACCGCAGAAAGTCTCTGTCAGAGGGCCGGGGTACCCCAAAGGAGCCACGGGAGAGGAGCATGTCAGAGAGCATAGGTGTGTGATGATCACCTCTAATCTGCATTTTTAAGCTAAAGGGAAAAAAACCATCTGTGAATCGCTACGAACCTTCATAAGTTCTGCAGTGAATTTTAATACCAACTGTTGCTATGAAGCATTGTTTTTTTTAGATCTTCACATAATTTATATGTATAAAACGTATCGAGTTTGCTAGCTGTAATATAGTAATATTACGAAATTTAACAATTTTTCCAAGCAAGTCAAAAAAATACTGGTGAACTGTACAAATCCATTTCTTACTCAGGTGATTTTACATTTTCATACCCACAAAAAAAATCATCACATCAAAATGCAAAGCAGCATGAACAGATTATAAAATGACCCCAGTCAGCTGGCAAGTTCAGATCAGGGGCCATCAGCACTCTTACTCTCACCTTTTTTGTCTTGGTGTGACATAAACACACCACTTTAGGTTACACCTGTTCTCTTTTGCCCCTCCCTAAAAGCTCAAACTCACTCTGTTTTCAGGAAAGACGAGTCAAAGAGAGCTGTTGTTTAAAAAGCTCCATCTAGAGGAAATAAAACTCACAATGTTTCTCTAGATGAGCCAGGGGAAGGCTGAATATCAGTATTAAATTATCACAAAGTCATTGTGATTAAGATTATTTGCTATAATGGAAGAGCCTCGTCTTCAGTATTAAAGGGATTTGCTTGTATTTTATTATAAAATGCACAAAGCGTTACACACATTTGTATCAAGTGTCAGGCTTTTGTTCAGTATGGACAACAATAACTAAACCCCTCGACTGTCAGAATATAAAGGAGCGTTTCTGAGTATAAACGTATTGATTTGAAGCTGTATTGATCCGCTCCTTGATGATTCAATGTGATATTTGATCTTTGTTCTGAGTCTGCTCTTCTCTCTTCCCCAGATGCCCACTCAGAGTCCCAGGTGCTGGAAGGGAAGGGGGGAGGCTCGGGATGGCCGGGGGCATCGGAGCGTCGAGGAGGGATGTTTGGGGGGCCGTCTCACCGTCCCCGAGCCTTTTCCCAGAGTGCAGTGCACACCCTGGAGCAGAGGGAGTGGGAGAGAGACCTGGAGAAGGTGCGAGGTTGTTAATCTGTAGCTGCCAGGCAGCAAACAGACTCAGGAGATTTAAGACTGTGAAGAAAGCTGTTTCAGATCACTGGATACCACCAACTGGTTACTTACCAAACAGTGTAATTTCTCAGAAAAACACCCACGTAAATCTATTTAATGTGTCAAGTTGAGTGTATTTAACAAGTTTCTTAGAGCAAAATGCATCCCAGAGTGAAATGAAGAAGCAACAGAGTGAAGTAACTTAAAGAAACCCACATGAACTCAGCGGTTGCAGTGTTTGTGTGTGCCTCTGCACGCACACCGCAGACGTGTGTCCCTCAGACCGCAGAGCGTTTTGGCCGAATGCTGTTCAAAAGCAGTTCAAATGGACTCGCTCGATGCTTTGTGTGAGGGCTCGAGTTGTTGCTGCTGAAAACCCAGTGGAAGCTCTGGGGGAGAGCAGCCTCCAACTTCAAAGGTTTCGCTTTCTACTTTTTGTGTGCCTTTGAAGGTATGAGACTGGTGTTTGCTGCTTCGCTCCTAATCACAGAGGAGTAGGCCTACATGCGAGCGCTTTTGTCTGAAGGCGTTCATCTGATGCCACGGGCGTAAAGAATGTATGCATGCTTTAATAATAGCTGCATTACTTCTGTCTGATTTCTTTAGAGTTTATAAACAGCACATCTTCCAACACTAACACCTTTTTCACGGGTTTCTCCCATATTTTAAGACAATCCTGTTTTCCTCCATCTCTCGGGGGAAACTCCTGGGAATTTGTGTCTCAGTCTTTATTGTAAATAATTGGAATACATGCATCTGTTACCAAGGTTACCTCGTCTGCCAGATTGTTTGTGAAATGCTGTCTACATACAGAATTCACACACCACATGTAATTTTAATGAGATTTTAATCCATCTGTAACCCACAACATGCATTAAGAGGTGTCTGTTTCACAGCAACATGCATCAGAAAGGTGACTTTAAAATAAATAATAATGCCTCGAGCAATGTGTGCGAGTTGCTGACTTCAGTGAAGTTGGAAAGAGGAACCTAGACCAGGATATGTGCACACATTAAACTAATGTCTAGGTCTGCTTTCTTTCATCTGTGCAAAATCTCTAAAATTAGAAACATCCTATCTCAGACGGATGTGAAAAATGAGCTCTTGCATTTGTTACTTCGAGACTGGACTGTTGTAATTTCTTACTATCATTAGGTTGTTCTAAAAGCTCCTTGAAAAGCTTGAGCGAGGCTCAGTTGCCGCAGCGAGAGTACTGGAAAGAGAGATCATATTTCTCCCGTACTGACTTCTCTTCTTTAGCTCCCTGTTGAATCCAGAACTGACTTAAAATCCTTTTTCTCACATACAAAGTCCTAAATGATCAGGTCTTGCTGTAGATTGAGAAGCCTCATAGTATGATATTATCCCAACCGAGCACTTTGTTCTCAGACTGCTGGCTTAATTGCGGTTCCTCGAGTTTCTAAAAGTAGAATGGGAGGCAGAGCCTTCAGCTATCAGGCCTCTCAGCTCGCAGTTTGGATTCAGGAGAGAGACACCGGCTCTACTTTTAAGATTCAGCTTCAAACTTTCCTTTTTGATACAGCATATAGTTAGGGCTGGATCACACATTCCTGAACCATCCCTTAGGTACGCTGCTATAGCCTCAAGCTGCTGGGGGACTTCCCGTGATGCACTGAGCATTTTGTTCCCCCCTGACCTTTTTACACACTTTTCACTGCATCTCAGTAATGTTTGTCTTCTCTCTCCCATAGTCTGTGGTATTTATTTGTCTTCTATGCTTTCCCTTTTTTACTTTTCTCTCCCCCGACCATCCCAGGAGATGGCTGCCCTTCCCTGACCCTGATTATGTTGCAGGTCTCTTCCTGTCAGAAGGGACTTCTTCCATCCTACTGTTATCGAGTGCCGCTTATTTATCTTACAGTATAAAGCACCTTAAGGCAGCTGTTGTGAATTAACGCTATAGAAATAAAACTGAATTGAACAGCCACAACTTGAGGTTTACAAATCAATTACTCATACATGAAATATTGTAAAACCACCAAAGATACCCCTCCCCACTCATATTAAATTACACAACTAGTTGCAACCAAATTAGGACAAATAGTGATATCTCTGTGCCGTGAGAAGAATGTGCAGGGACCAAAAACACAGAGTAGTTCCAGATCACTGGTTATACTGCAGGACGTAGCTTAAAAATGATTTATTTTACATTTTTCAGGGCAAACTTTATTTAAACATTCAGTAACTTTAGTGGCACTCTGTGTCATAATCACTATAAAATACTTTTGTTTTCCTAAAAAAAATAAATCTCCCATACTTTGGACATAAATGCTGGCTGGTGTCATTCAGTGTCGGTGATATATTTTAGAGAAATCACTTCATGTGCCGTCTTTCTTTCTCCACTTTCAGGAGGACGGCACAGGTTTGTTTCGCGGCCGTCCACCGCCTCAGTCGCTGTACCAGGGTGGGGCCAGCGAGGACGTGACTAGCGATGAGGAACGCATGGTCATCTGTGAGGAAGAGGGAGACGATGATGTCATGGGTGAGTGAGATTATCTGCAGAGTGATTTTAGTGAGGTTACAGTTTCATAACCAGAGAGTAATAGTTTCAGTTCCCATGATGGCCAGTAAACTTCTGTTTTCTTACTCAGTGTGACTCTGTCAGCAAATACCTAATGCTTGAAAAAAAAAAGTGTCTCTGTCATGCAGCCCTAACACTTCAGCTGCTAATTGCTAGTCTTAAAATATCACGACCACAACAGCACATAATTCCCAGTGTAGCTGTGAAAGTCTGCAGGCAGCCTTAACAACCTTTGTCTCATTTGCTCTACAGAAGAAATCAATTCATAGTCATAGGTGTAGATTTTCCAGTCAACCTACAGGATACTTCCTTTTCACTATTATAAACATGTGTGTTTCACTACGCCCAGTAGGAAGCTGAAGACTTTTGTTGTTAAAAAAATAATAATAATTATTGTTATACTCATAAGTATAACAATGCCTCTGACAGGGCAGGTCTCTTTCTTCGTCATTAATCTTCCTCTGTGAGCTCACACAGCTACTAGATCTTTTGTGACACAAGTAAATATCCCTGTCACGCACACAAACACATGGTATTAAGGATCTGCAGGAGAGAGCATGCAAATGCAGGAAACTGAGGCAAGATTAATAAACAAAAGGCAAGGTTTAAATGGCTGATAAATACTTAGAAGAGTCCAGTTAGGTCCAGTATTTCACAATAAAAGCACAAATCTAAAGCAGACACATAGAAGGAAAAACCATAAATAGCATTAAAAAATGGATGTAGCCACCATGATGTCACCCACTGGTTGGTGAAATCCCACCGTTTTGGTGTGATGAGTGTGGGAACGAAAGTGTTTACAGCAAAGGCCGTTTTCACATGGACGTCTATATAACTGGAACCAGAGGCGTCACCCCCTGCTGGTCATTAGAAAGAATGCAGGGTTGAAGCTTCACTTCTGAAGTGACGTTACCGCCATCTTTTTTACAGTGTGTGGATAATACTGAGAAAAACTGAAAGCTGAGAGTGGAGAGACAAGAATACAGTGGGTATATACACAGGACTGAGTGGACACAACTGAATACAGATGAAACTAATGAGGGCGGGGCAGCAATCACAAAGGAACAATAGGCAAAGAGAACGTCATCACCAAAATAAAACAGGAAATAAGAAGAAAGAAGGAGATTGACACATGGACAAAACAGGAGACAAAGACAAGGAAATATGACACACTTTGAAATAGAAGAAAGAGTATCAGTTAAATCGAAACAGGGAACATAAAGGAAAGGAAAAGGAAAAAAGACCTGACTTAGAATAGAAAGAATTCATTCATCACTGAGGTGAATACGGGACATAAGCACAATTAACAAAAGACCCAAAAGAAGGCAGAGTAGTGAATCGTGCCTGCGTGTGTGGATTCAGCAGGTGTATGTGAAATAAAACAGGAATAAAGAAATCAGAAATCCTCAGAGCCTCTGTTCTATTTTTAACTGTTATGAACTGTAATAAAGACATTTCAGCCAAAAATTCATGAAAAAGCCTTAAAGCGCTGGATGCTCTCACACATGAGACTCAATGTGTCCACCACTCGCAAAACATCCAAACAAAATCTAAACCCACGAAAGGTTTGAAGTGTGCTGTGTGTGTTTTGTGCACTTGTGCCGATATTTTTTGAAGAGAGTAAATAAGAAAGAGATCAATGAAATTGATAAGGCTAAAATGTTTTGTAGGTGAATAAAGAATAATTATTCTAATAATAAAAGGGGTTGTGTGATATTTCACCCTCAGAAGATTCATGTCCTGAAGGCTCCATCGACCTGAAGTGTAAAGAGAGGGTGACAGACAGCGATGAGGATGAACCAGATGGACAGGTACGTGCAGGGTTTAAAGAGATGTTCATTCAACATGTGTTTGTCTTATTTGACTTGTTCTTGGAGTCTGTAAAGTTTGAAATTTAGCACAAAGCTCTTTCTGTTTGATCGAAAGTGATTCTGAGTCATCAGCGTTAAATTAGCATCATATTGTTGGTGCTTTATTTTAAGGCTTTTTCTGCATTTCTTTATTCCCATCGAGCATTAAAAACCCACAGACTTTTCAAAGTTACTGTAAGTTGAGAAGAACTTCACATATTAACTTTCCCCCTTTGATCTCTGTGCTTCTCTCTTCCCTCCAGCATGGCTTCCAGCCTGTGGCTCGCTCCTCTCTCCCCTCCTCCTCTCCCTCCATCATTCACTCCGACTCCTCCTCGGCTAAAGGGAACGGTGGCGGTAACGGAGGAGGTCCTGAAGACGGGTCAGAGAAGAAGAGAAAGAGAGGTGCAGATGGAGGAGAGGATGAGAGCGAGGGAGCCCTAAAGACAGAGCAAGGTGGAGGAGAAGGAAATGGAGGAGGTGGGCAGGGTGTCTCCTCTCTCTCCATCGCCCAGCCTCCTCCACCGCTGGCCCAGCAGAGTTTGACCCCGGTCGGCGTCCGCATGGCCCCCACGATGGTGACTAACGTTGTGCGCCCCATCGCCAGCACGCCCATCCCCATCGCCAGCAAGCCGGTGGAAGGAGCCATCACCCTCAGCACCCTGCCACAGGACAAGAAGGCCACTCTCCTGATTGGGGGTGGAGGTGCTCAGCAGCTGCCGATCACAGCAGGGGGTGGGTACCTGTCGTCCTCCTCCCCTGGTCCAGTCAGTGTAACCCCTGTAGGAGGCAGCAGCCTGCTCACTAGCCTAGGTCTGGGACCCGCTCAAGCAGTGGAGCTCCTCTCCCTACACATCCAAAGCCCCCTACCTGTCCTCCAGCTCCACCCCACTGCTGCCACCACCTCTTCTCTCACACCTCCCGCCTGCCCCACGACCCCGGGACAGGCGCAGTACATCCTGCCCACCGAGAGCCCCTCCTCCCCTCAACTCACTCACCAGCAAATCCTCTCCCTGCCCGCAAATGCCGCCCTGGCCAATGGCGTGCACTCGGGGGCGGGAATCAGAGTCAGCCCCGGGACTAGAGGTGAGACAGAGAGCAACGATTGGCTGAGAGAGAAAAAAAATGGCAAAAAAAAGTAAAAATGTCTTTCTTTGATTTTTCTTTCTGCTGCTCTTCCCTTCACTACAGTAGATTTGATTGGCTTACATAAACGGGAGATACATGATTGACATGAGTTATGAGTGCCCGCCGCCCGCCCACGTCCTAATCACTCTCTGTTCATAAGAAGCAACAGGACGTCATTCCACCTTGTTATCAGCAAGGAATTTCACTAGCATCTGTAGCTGAAATGTTCCCTCCGTCTCAGCGTGTCTCCACCCACCGCCGCTCCTCTGATGTCTTCACCTCCCCTCTTTTGACTCGATTCATCTGTTCCTCACGCTGAGTGATTTAATTCTCTCTCTTTCTCTCTCTCCCTGCTTCTCACTAATCAGTCCAAACCCAGTCGCCAGTCTTGCAGAGCAAGATGTTGGTTCCCATGGCAACAGTGAGAACCGGGTCTACTCCTCCTCATCCTTCCATTTCCCTGGTGGCTCCGCCTCTTCCCGTGCAGAACGGCCCTGCGACAGGAAACAAGGTAAGAACACGGTGTCAGAGATAAATACCTGCCAGCCCGGTGGCTCGGAGCAGCAGCGACGTTAAAACCCGAGTGAGGCGACAACAAAGCAGATGACACGAGGACGTCCACGCGTGTTTTACTCATCTGATTTGGAGCAAAATTTTCTTTTTGAGTAAGAAAATTAGATTCACACATTACAAGCAGCCTTTTACTCTTATTTGTGAAGTTGTGTTGAGCGTTATTTAAATTAAAAGATCATAAAAACTCCACGTGTAGAATCATCAGTCAAATCTGATGTCAGAGTGCTAAATTTGCTACAAAATGAGGTTTTAAAAAGCTTTCTTTCCTCTGAAAGTGAAACTTCTACCTCTTACTTCAGCCCTCTTTGTGTTGCAGACTTAGGGTATTTTTCAAATCAGAATAATTTGAATGCCATGTCTCCTTTTTATAATATCTCTTTCAGTGCTCAAGGACACCCGATTTGTATCGTTAATCAGGGGACCTATTATGCTGATTTCCATCTCCATGTTTCTTTCTTGGACTTTATTTACAAGACAACTCTTATCTTATACTGAGTCAGTTCATGCACCGTCTGAAAGAAGCTATTTTATCTCTGTGATGACCTTATAAAGATATCAAGTCTTTTGACAGATCTCTATAAGCTTTTTAATTAGATGATGGTCGTTAACATTAGTGAGGGGGCTGTCACATTTGTGGCTTTGTTTCTAATTCTTAGGAAGGAATTAAACTTTCTCACAAGAACAGAAAAGTTTAGTCATTTGCTTTCACACCGTGACCTGAACTGAGGGCGAATTACATGTACGCCATTGCTTTCTTTGTTTTTCGAGCTCAAAGGTCTGCTTGAGATGTTGTTATAGGCTCAGAAACCCGGCTTTAATTCTTTTGATTTCTCACAACCATGAAAATACATTGTATGTTTATAGCTTTTAAATACTGGATACATGACAGAGAGATGATAAAATGTGAAACCTGTTCTCTAAAAAACTGAAACCTGGTGAGGAATTAATGGTGTTTTTCTGATTCCCCCACTCCAGATCATCCAGATTGCTTCCATGCCTGTTGTGCAGACCAACGTCCACCCTAGCGGTGCAGCAACAGTACATCCTGGGAGCCCCTATCCTGTTTCCATGGCAACGGTGATGACTCCCGGTGCTGCGCCCCCACAGACCGTTCTCCTGACCTCTCCACCCACCAGGTCAGTAACACAGGCCTAACACCTGAAAGACAAGCAAAACGTGCCCTGACTAAACTTTACTGGACTAATGAGTGAGCTGGTCAGAAAGGACTCAGAGACACTGGAGTTCAACAACTTTAAAAGATGCTGTCAGATATTGATTTTAGCTGGGTCATGCCATCGCTTAATGTGCTGCAAATGCAGATGAAGAAAGTCAACACTTTGAGCACGATTTAATTCTCCATTATCCCTTGCAGCCATGTGAACTATGACACCAACTATAAAAAGCCTTAGACTTTGCAAAAGAGAACTGCTACATACGGAGAAGTTTCTGAAAGTTTCTTTAAAGCTGGAATCATGACTGAGTATTTTATAGACAGTAAACAGATTTACACCCAACATTTAAACCATATTTATTAAAACAAACCCAATATTTATCTGATCCAGCTGCAAATAAATATTTTCTTCATACAGACTGTACAGGGGATGAATTTTGACTTACGTTTTAAGTACTGTTAGTGTCTTAAGTTATGTAACTACACAACTAACGATACAACTAATGAGACAGCAAGCAGCTAACTGGTCCAATTTTAGAGCCTTCTGGAGAATTTTAGTGCATTTATGCAACACATCACATGGTTTGCTGTGCAATTAATTATACTAACAGACTGTGTGAGTTAGCTTTGGTGAGTTAAATTCTAGTATGCTGTTAGTCTGTTAGCAGATATGTGTCTGTGCATTGCAACCATACAGTTCATGGGTGCAACTGTCTATTCAGTTACTTAGCTCTCCACTCGCTTGTCTTGTAAAACAATAACAGGGCTAGAAAACAGCATGGCAGAGGCAGGATAAGAGGGCATGAACACAGTCTGACAAAAAACAGACACGTTAAATATACACAGAGGGCTGACTGGGTAGCAAAGCAAAGGTGAAAGCAGTTAAGAAAGGCAAGTCAGACAATCAGGAAAGGAGGGAAAAGTAACAAAGGCAGGAAGTTAGATTGCATTAAAACACACGACTAACCTAACTTTCAGAGTAAAATAGGCCGATTACTCACTGGCAAACATGAAGTCAAAGTCAGATGACGCAGAAGGAACTAGAAAACACAAAACCGACAAATTAGGACCATGATGCCGGTGGCTACGACCGTCTTTTACGTACACTAATCATTTTATTATTATTTTATGTATTTTTTCTGGTCACTACTGATATGGCTTTTTTCTCGTCCAGGATCACGTATGTTCAGTCAGGTCCAGGTGTCACCACGGCAACGCACCAGCAGGGTCCACAACCCCCTGGTCCTGCATATCTCCAGTCTTCTCTGGCAACCCTGGGCTTCACCGCCATCGCCCCAGCTCCACAAACCCTGGTTCAGCCAGTCGTTGGTCAGCCTCCGCTACTCGCCCCAGCTCAGCCTCTAAGCTGTCAATCACAGAGCTCTCCGGGACAGACAGCGGGCACCACCGGTCGTCAGGTAAAAAGAGATTTGCACAGTATCAAATATCACTACAGTTTAGAGGTGTGAGAGAGAAAGTAATGATAAAGATGTGAAAACAATTACAAAATCAGTCTTCATGTACATGTTTAAGTACCAGACTTCTTCTAAAACAGACCCCAGACAGTTCAAAGTGACTGTCTCACCTGCTGAAGGAGTTCAGGGTGGTAACGCCCTCCTGTTTGTACTCTACATCCATGACTGCATTCTCAAACATGTCGCCATCATTGAATGCAATAATTAGAATTCATATTAGAGAGGAAAATCAATAATTACTCAGTGTGGTGCACAGAGAACAAGATGCACACTGTAGGCTTTGTAGCCCCTGTTTTGGATGAATTCCCACCATCTCTCTCGGCAAAGTCTAAGTCACCACAATCATTAATCCCGTATTTGGACGTGGCTGTTAATTTTAGAGAAAGAGAGGCCTTATTCTAACTGGAAACATCACAAACCAGTATGAGATGTGGATTTCCAAAGATCAAAAGGCTCAGCGGGTGAATAAACCCACCCAAAACATCACAACATCACTGGGATCAGTGAACCAAAAAAAGAAACTGTCCAACCTGCTGCCATCTGTCAAGCAACACAGAAATAAAGTAAAAATAACTATATTAACCCAACTTAAGTAATTACTCATTTATTTTATTAAAATGCTAATAAAAAAAAAGTACTTCTGTAACTCGAGGCTGTAGCTTACTTATACCACTTTGTGTTGCCGTCGAAGTCACTGCTATGTTTTGGTTTTTCTTTTTAAAGCACACACTATAGACTAGTTTTCCTCACTCGCCAGTGGAATATGAAATAGTTAAACGTCATCCGAGCACAAAACAAAACAAACACACAGTAATCAGCCTCAACACTAAGCCCACTGACAGGTGAAGTGAATTAGATCATCTGGTTACAATGTGATGGTCTGCTGGGAAACCTCGTGTTCTGGCACAGTCCACAAAATCTTCCCGATCAAGCATCAAAACAAGCTGGACATACAGATCCCAAAAGTATCGTTGCCATTGTCCAGGAGTTCACGGGACGCCAGCAAGGACCCGGTGCAGGGAGGGGTCAGACCTGTTTTTGGCAGCATCGGGTGGAGTGTCTTTTCAAACACTGTTGTTGTTCACTTCAGTCTAGTTCACCCGCTGACATGCCTGGTTTCCTGTTTCCTTCTTCAGGTACTAACTGCCATCTACCCTGCACCACCCGTTGCTCTGCCCACTGGCGTGGTCTCAGTGACGCCTGTGCCGCCTGCAGGGGCGGCTCCAGCTCAGGACGTGGCGAACCCTCCCTCTCCGCTCGCTGTAGGGCTGCAGGGTTCAGCGGTGGCGACCCCTCACCCTGGCATGGGAACAGAGGTGGAGGTGAAGCACGAGAGCCAGCTGGATGCTCAGAGTGACGCTCAGGGGTTGTCGAGCTGTGTCACCAGCTCCTCGATGGGCACCTGTACAAGCAGCATCATCGCAGGTAACGGTCCACTGATTTAGAACACTGGTGGATTTATTTGTACTTATCTTATAGTTTAGTGTGGGCTTCATCAGACGTCCACTTCTAAAGGAAAATTACAGCAATGTGCAAGTTTTTTAACTGGATAAGTAATTTGGTAAAAATGATCTATTTTGTGTTTTAGTGAAAAAAGAGGAGGACACCACTTTGTGCATCAAAGAAGAAAATTTGAGGGATGGATATGAGAGAGAGAAACAAAGTGAGATGGACGACGAGCGAGAGAGCTGTGAAAAGAAGCGAGGCAGAGAGACGGAGAGAGAGGAGCTCAGCACGGGCAACAGCAGCAAAGAGGTGAACAAAGCCGCATGGGGCCTTCACTCATACTATAATAATACTTTTTATATCTGAAGTTTTTATCTGTTTACCACATGTTTCTCCGAGCGAATCAGAATCAAATCAAAAAATATCTGTGAACGATACAGATTCTTTTTCAGAACTTGTGTGAAGTGATTTTGGAAGTTTTCACAACAAATCACAATTTTGAAATACAATTAAGAGATTTTTGAACAACCACAGATCAAATCATGGTAGTTGAGATAAAGTGATCATTTTTTACATTTCACTTTTCTCCCATGAACCGAGTTTCCCGTCCTAAAAGGTCATGCCAGCTCCAGATGCTGCCTTCATCTACCACTATAAAATTAAAAGGAGGACTGGTGATATTTCAAACAACATATAGACAGATGCGCCTTGAGATTTTGGCTCACCCTTCAGTGTGCATTGGGAGTGTCTGTAAGTCATTCACTTAGAGGAAGTAAAATGTTTCGACATTTGAGCCTGAGAGAGAATCAAAACTGTTGCAGCTGCTTTTGTCTCTGATATGCATCAAGTGTCCGTCATGCAGTCTAATTCCAGCAGCTCTCCTCTGTCATCCTGCCCCCCGTCCTCCACCACAGACATCCTGCAGTGGAGTTCCTTGAACTTTAAACCTTAAGTTATTACAATTTTTGGCCAAAATCATTCTGCGTTCACAGGAGAGTTTAAAAAGCTCCTCATGTCCTCAGAAACAACCACACCAACAGTGCAACCTTTAACAGATGAAAACCTCGCACTGTGTTCCCAGGCTGGACCTCGTTCCCCACCTCCACCACTACCCTCAGGTTTGGACCCCCCTCCTCCTCCACCTGTAGAAAGAGATCCTCCCTCTTCCTCAAAGAAGACCAAGTTTCGGCCCCCGCCACTCAAAAAGACGCCTGACTCTCATGACAAGTAAGTGGGCTGATAAACCTTTATGTCAGAAGACTCCTGAGATTCTAACGTTGCTTCTTATATTTTCTACAACTGTGTGGGTTTGTTGGTTTAAGCAACCTCAGATTCGGACTGTATAAACTGATGTGAAACAGGTAAGTATGCATTATAATGAAGCCAGATTCCATCTTTGGCTGCAAGAAAAGCTTTTATTAAAGTCCAGATCTGCTCTCGCCGTGGTCAGACTGAAGTTTCATGGAATCGTTGCCAAATCAGAGAAAAATAAGCCAAGTCTGCCAGCTCTTTCTGGCTTTCTGGTCTTGGTAAAAATAAAAAAATAAAAAGACTTCCTTTCATTTTAACAGTTTACATATTTTCAAGCTGAGAGAGCGCATACAACAGGAATGAATCTTATGTAATTTTGGCAGCTTGAAGGGAAACTAGCAGCACCCTGGACAGGACTCCATTTGTTGACTTTATTAATGAGCACTCGTTTTAAAGCGTAGTGGCATCCAGGTCTGTTTTTAGTGCACGGCCAAACCTCCAACTTTCTAAGATTATGGTGGAAACTCTGTTTACTGAATGTGAGTGGGCAGAGTGCTTACTCTTGATGTTCTTTATTTAGATGGTAGGAAAGTAGCACGGAAGCCGCAGAGGCGAGAAAGTCACGGCAGAACTCGGCCTTAAGGAATGCGAATACATTCAGAAGTCGTCCCTTGATACTTGAACCACCGCACAACTGGACTGTGTTTGTGTGTGCAGGCTCCTCTCGGAGACGTACTTTGAGGAACGCTTTGCTGAGCTGCCAGAGTTTAACCCAGAGGAGGTCCTTCCCTCGCCCACTCTGCAGAGTCTGGCCACCTCACCGAGAGCAATCCTGACCAGCTACCGCAAGAAGAGACGCAACTCCACGGGTACGAGTCAGAAATTCAGAGATGACTCCAAACTTTAGATCTGAACAACTGATATCCTGTGGAACAAAATCCCCACATTCAAAGTCTCTGTTCTTCCTCTTTTCCTTTGCTTGCCTTTCATTATTCCTCACGCGTCCGTCTCCCTCCAGACCTTGAGCTGACTGGGGAAGACCCGAGCTCCCCGAGGAGAAAGACTCGTCGCCTGTCCAGCTGCAGCTCAGAGCCCAACACCCCCAAGAGCGCCGCCAAGTGTGAGGGAGACATATTTACCTTCGACAGAGCAGGTATGACGTGTACGGCACCTACAACCTATCGAGAGATGCCGAGATGGCCTGACGCTGGTCTGATGGACCTTTCTGTGAAACCAGGTCCAGAAGGCGAGGTTCCCCCGGGAGAATTGGACAGGGTTTCGTACTCGTCTCTGCGCAGAACACTGGATCAGCGTCGGGCCCTCGTCATGCAGCTGTTTCATGACCATGGCTTCTTCCCCTCAGGTAAGCTAACAGTAGATAAGACATGACGTCACAGGAGAAGCAACAAACTAAAGCTAGAATCATTATGTAGTGCAAACCTGTTAATAACAAAAGCAGTAATGATGAAAATATGTCACAGCTGTGTGCTTCCACCAACAACTTAAAAAGTAAAATCACTGTCAGACTGAAGCAAGGAAAGAAGAATTTGCATTTTTCAAATTATTATTTAATTATTTATTTAAGTGGGAGTTTCCATCGCTATTTTTTCAAGAAAGATGTTTACAAAAATACAGACAACACAGTACAGACACTTAATACAAAGAAATACACCAGACTTCAGAATAATCAGATAAATTACAGTCCAAATAAATATAATCCTTTAAAACGCTGTAATGAAATAAGAAAATGTAGCTTCATACATTTTCTTATTTCTTAGCTCGTCCCATTCGCAGGCAGCAGAGCATTTTAATGTGTGTATCAGAGGTCTAGCTAATGTTAAAATGTCCCGTGAATGGACTTTGGTATGCTATTTAAACGTCACAACAAGGGTGCGGAGGTAGACCTTCCCACTTTTTTATAAAAGATACAATGATGAGTGATAAAAGCAGCAGTCTGTGACGAAGAGAATCGAGGGGCTTTCAAAGTGCACAAATGACATAAACATAATTTCCTTCTCACTCTCCTCTCTCCAGCTCAGGCCACAGCTGCCTTCCAGGCGCGCTACTCAGACACGTTTCCCAACAAGGTGTGCCTGCAGCTGAAAATCCGCGAAGTCCGTCAAAAGATCATGCAGACGGCCACGCCAGGAGCCCTCGAGCCCGGAGCGTTGGCCGAAGCCAGCCCCGCCTCTTCCCACAGCTCCTCTTTTAATCAATCAACCCGGGAGGATGCAGGGGTGGAGCTGCAGGGAGACAAAGGGCGGAGCCCCGAGGAGCCGAAAAGCGAAGGATCGTAAGCTGGAGAGGGCGACGGAGCAGAAGAATGGAGGAAAGACAAAGAGGGAGAGAGAGGAGTGCGTTAACCAGTGAGGTCCTATCTACTGGCGCTAATCTCCATCAGACCTGGGCAGAAATGTGGAATGTGGTCACAAATAATTCAAACTACTCAAGGCGCGCTTGGATCATCTAATCAGACCTTTAAAAAAAATCAAAAATCAAAAAGCCTCAAATATGGTCAAATCACATGCAAGTCACGATGAGTCAAGTGCTTCTTGTATTGTTTTCGCTGTTTATTTTCCAAGTATCCAGAATGTCTTTAGTTAACCCTTTTGCCCGGGTCTGCTCTCAGCACATTTGTACAGTAGTTTGTAGTTTGACACACAAACTCTATCTCTCTGGCAAACACACACATGCATACAGACACACACACCAGCCCTGGTGCATATGTAATCTCCAGCATGCACATGATCCCACAGAAACACGCATACACGCTTAACAATCAGACTGTTACTCTTGGTTGGCAGCCCCCAGGAGTTGCTACCAAGGACCACGACACACAAAGGCACTTTGTCACTTATTGTGCAGATGCAGTTTGCTGTTGCCAGCCAGCCAGCCCTCAGATGCCATTGACTTGACCTCTTTCTCGTCCTCCCACTCCTCAGCACAGTGGTCAGGACATAAAAACACAACCCCAACGACCTCCACTGATATTCCACAGCCCCTCGATGCTGCAAGACAGACAGCACACACACATACACAGTACACCCACACACGAACACGCGTCCGTACAGCGTGAGTACACAAACACAGTCAAACACCACCACCAACCCCGCCCCTTGGTCTGACCAAGCCATCGGCCTGCACAGTTTTTAGTGATTGTAGTGAGAAGAGAAACTGAAAGCATGACATTTTATTCGCTCCTGAAAAGAAAAACAAAACAAACAAATAAAAACAAGAAGGCAGGAGTCGTGATGTAGTGTGACCAATCTTTGCACCTTCAGTTTATTGCCATTATGAAAGACTCGAGTCCTTACTGGCGGGAGCTGATGATCTATATGTCTGTATGTCTGCCGGGGGTCATGACCCCCAAAACCTGTGCGAACAGGTACCATAAAGAGATTATGTAAAGAGACTTTTAGGTTGTGAGGCTTTGAAGAATCAACGTTAAACTCGACACCGACCAGCTCCCAACAGAGCACGGAGAAAAAGGACGGAAGAAGGAGAAACTGGATGCAAGATTCATATTCCAACGATGGGAAGACGTGATAGCGGTGAATACGGACAACATGACGAGAACCAAACTTCTCTGAATCCCCCCCCTCCCTCCCCCCATGGATATGATGTTGCTTTCTCTCATTATCGTGGAAATAACCAGTTTTAACGTGGCCTGTTTTTCTCTCTCGTGGCTCTATTGTGTTTCTTCTCCAGCATAAAAAAATAATAACAACAACAACAACAAAACTCTGGACAAATAAGGGGACAAAAATCAGCGTGTGCCCCGTCTCTCCCCTCCCTCCCCTCCCTCTACGATTTCTCACCAGACACAGAAGCGGGGGAGCAGAGGCGTTTGTCGTTTTGTAAAACGTTGAAATCAGGTGTTTGCACAATTTGTGCGGCCCTCTCCGTCTGGGGGCCGCCACAAGTTAAATCAGGAAAGTATTGTTTTTAGAGATTGTTTTAGTAGTTAAAAAATAATAACTTGTTCCTTATGTTATCAATTACCCTTTTCCTCCTTCCCTGCTTTCCTTCTCAGCCCTCTCTCTCTCCTTCTCCCCCCTTTACTGCTCTCCTCCCTCCGACCCTCAAGTGTTGTCTGAAAGTGCCCTTAAGCACTGGTCCCGGGTCAAGCGCTATGTAGCTCAGGATGGTTCTGGTTAGGGTTAGTTCAGGGAAAGCGGATCCTAGACCAGCACTGGAGGGCAGTCTCCGGAGCCCTCCCCTTGTCCCTCTCTTCTCGACACTTTATCCTTTCCCATCAAATGGTGCAATAGGACTTTTTTTTTTTAAATGGGTGGGGTTTTTTTTTTTTTTTCGGGGCAAGGCTCTGTGCCATAGATATTAAACCCAGTCAGACAGTGAGAGGGATGAGCTGTTGTCTATAAATATGGTATAAAAGAAAACAAAAAAGAATCACGCAATTATTGTTCTTGTTGAAGCGATAGAAAGTATAACTTACTAAAAGTCAAAGACAATTTTTAAATAGCACTTTTTGGCTCTTTGCTTCTCGAGTGAAGAGTGGGGGTAGTTATTATTATTATGGGTATCTCTATAATTTCTCTGTATACAGTTGGATGTGTGAAAAACAAATATATATACCGGTATTTCCATATATGTGCATTTAGGTCTGTGTTTGGGTGTTGTGTGTATGTTTTGGCACATGCAGGTAGCGTGTTATCACGACCAACCTCTCGTTCTTTCACCACACAGCAACATTATCAATAGTATATTTTTCATTGTATCTACATTCTATATTCTACTCTAGAGACAGTATTTTTATAGTCACCATGACTATTTTGTCTGCCATCTTGACTGTTATCAAACCCAGTTGATTCAGGATATATGTGAAATATATATATATATCTATATATATAGATATGTAGATATATCTATATATATCTATATATATATATATATAAATACACACAGGTAAGAAGAAGACTATCAATTCACATTACTTTGGGGTTAGGGCTGTAAAGTGTCTGTCTGCATGCATGTGCAATCACATGCACCTGTGCACACACCCACACAGACATATGTGCATACACACACGTATGCGTGTATACTGTATGATTGTGCTTAAAAATAAACTGTCCTTACTTTGGAGAAGGAAATTTTAGGATGAGCGATGTGAGTGTTATCTCATAAGCAGGCATGTTGACCATGTGCAATATTTCTAAACAACAAAAAAAGACTAAATATTGAAAATATTAAAGTTCTAACACAACCTCTTATGTGCTTGCATTTATTTCATGTCCCTGCATTTCTTGAGTCTTTTATATTGTCGTGTGTCTTATTTGTGAATCTGTGTCGGTGGGAGATGAATCTCTGCAAAAATCATAATGGCAGCAAAATCCCAAAATCCCTGGAACATACAGTGTGTGCTTCTCCAGCTGGCCTTTATCGAGCATATCAGTGTTGAAAGTGCTTATTGGATTAGAGCAGCCTTTGAGATTCAGGTCATATTGGGCGAGAAGCTGGGTTAAGTTAAGGAGACCTGGTCAAAGAGCTTTCAGTACAGTAAAACAGATGCTCTGTGGGAAGCTGGAGATAACACCTGGCTGCCCACTTCTGAACCCTAAATAAATCCATTGGCCTTCATTAGTTCTTTTTTTTTGTTTACCCAAGCAAGACATAACACCAAAGGCATGAAATAAAATGGAAAAAATACATTTAATTTAAAGGATATGCTGTTAAAGATTTAAACGGCACAGCAGTGTTGAACCTCACAGTGATCGGTCATTGAGTTTTATTTGTATTTCCAATATTTATGTTACTTTTATTACATTTTTACAAAGAGAAAAATTAATATAAGAGTCCAGGCTGTAATATGAACTAAAGTAAAAGGGTGTGACTTATTTCCGAGAAAAAAGCTAAATTCTGTGATGTATCTTGAATTTTTTGTTGCTTTTCTACAAATGTTATAGTTTTAAATTTAACTGTAGCTGCGGCTCTTTCTGGCCTACATCCCTCCTGTTAATTCAGTTGAAATTTGTAGTTGTTTTGATTTGTAAAATTCAGAGCGGCAAACCTAAGTAGCGGTTGGCTCTAACTCCATCTCCCAGGTGTCATTGCGTGCGGTCTGTTTCTAGGTGTCTAGCAACAGCTATAAGCCCAGACAGCCGGCGGCAACGGGAGCGGTGTTTCTTGGTGTGTCTTTGGTGTGTCTTTGGTGTGATTGTTCGTTGCCGGTTGTTCATAAGTAATAGTGGTTTAGCTGAAAAAACGGTGAAACAACAACCCTGACCCCTGCACAGAGATATGAGCGGCAGCGGGCGGCCCAGGACCAGCTCGTTTGCTGAGCCGCCAGGTGTTCCAGGAGCCGCTGCTGCGTCCGCCGGATCAGCCGCTGCCGTGGGGAGCAGCACAGGAAAGACCGGGGTCTCGCAGGCCTCCGGTAGCAGCTCGTCAGGATGCTCCAACCTTAAGCTTGCCAGTAAGTTGTAATTATCTACTAACTCCTTATCAGAATGTGCTGAATCAATATATCATATTACAAGTTACAAACTAAAAACTACACACCGTCGTTATGTGTCACAGCGCAGAGGAAAGTCGTTATTTCTCCGCGAACTGGCTAGCAAGGTTACTAGCCTGCTAACGTTAGCCACTTGTTTTGTACATTACTAGTTCCCTGTCCGGCCGATGGCTCTTTTCACCCCGTCTGGTGTCAAGACTGTTTCACATGCCATCATTTTAATCGAGCAAAACTAAAGCACATTAAAGATTTGAAGTAACTAACTAATATGTGTTTAAAAGCTGCAAGTGGGTTGGATTTTTTTATTGTGGTCATTGTGGCTGCTGAGCTGTTAAATCAGCTCCGTTGTTCTTTGTGACCAAGCTAGACTGTAATACCCCAAGTTGAGTGCTCCATTGAAGGGTCTTTTGTAGGTGTAGCTGAGAGTGCCATTAGCTAACAGTCTGAATCCACTGGTGGAGGGTCAGGGCGGAAAAGTTGCATATTCACCAAGGTCACCTGCGGGGTAGTGTTAAAAAAAGAAGCTTAGCAGCAGGTGGCCGACGCCTGGAGGATGCAAGTGATCCACGTCCAACAGCAGAGCCCAAGGAGTGGGTTTCCTCAGTCTGAGGAGAAATAATAGTATGCCCTTTTATCACTGTAGTAGCGGGTGTAAGCAGAGATCTGTGTGTGTGTGTGTGTTAATCCAAACCTTATCATCCATTTGCAGCCACTGCCGCGTCTCTTGATATTAGAGCCCAAAAGGGAGGTCATCTCCAGTTCAAAGCCATGTGACCCCTAGTTTCTCTGCAGCAGAACAACACAGACTGATGTCCTATCAAATGTTGCCTTTGGCAATTTAAAGATACTCTTTTGAATGGTTGATCAGGTGTTTTTTGTCATGTTTGAGCAACCTGCAAGCTATACCTGGAGGCAGAATTTCTGTCAGTAGGATTTTCCTGAATATATCACCAGGACTGTGATATTTATTTATTTTTTATTTTATTTTTTAAACAAGTTCTTTTTGTAAGTTGGGTAAAAATACTTTAATCCATTTTTGTTCATCAGAAATAATAATAAAAAATTAAAAAAAAAACACCTAAACCTCTGATATGCTTAATTGTATAGCCAGCCTCACTCCCAGCAGACAACAGTGAACCCGGAGCAAGACACGTGAGGGAATGAAGTGATTTGGGGGATTAAAATTAAACTTGGACATGGAGCTTAGTCAATGCAAAGTTGAATTGTAGTGCTTCACAGATGACTGACAAGCCTATAAAAAAATAATAAAACAAATGAAATAAAAAGTAGAGAGTAAATTATAAAACCAAACAGAATAAAATACAATAACTTATTTTATTTATTTTAAACCATACATGCCTTTTCAAAAGGAGAAGGGAACACAGGAAGGTAACGCCCGATAAATATTTGAAAGGGATTTAACATTAATTACATTTTGAAAACTAGATACAGCAAAGCCAATTTAAAAAGTGGTAAGCTATGTCTATAAATCATACTTAATCACAAGCCAGGCTGAAGAGGCCGGTTTTAGATTTTCTATTTCAGTGATTGTTCCTGTGATTTGAAGCATAAAAAGTAAAAAGCTGCCCCACCTGGTATAATGGCGTATACTCTGAGAGCATATAAGACACATTAGGGCTTTTTTCTGGCTAAAAATGGACCTTTGGGGCAGTGATGACTGCAAATATAATCACAATTTCTTCCAGTATATGTAAGGCACAGAATCTGTGTTGCCTTACTAAAGTCTACATTAAACATTAAACACCACTAACAAGAATTTAAAAAAAAAACCAACAACTTTGAAATCATAATCCTGCTGATCTTTCTTTAGGTAGAAAGCCAACACTTTTTTTGTTTTTTGCTGGAAAACTCCTGGATTTGTGCAGCAAAGGACCGTGTAGGGCCTTAATGCGTACCATCCATCTTGTCCAGATAAGCACTCAGGCTGCTGTTTTTTCAAAGACTAGATAGCTGAGCATTTTTCAAGCCTGCTTTAAAAGCTTGGTCACTTGGAGAGATAAAGAAATGGTTTCACTTTTGTGGCATTTTTAAGGAGATAAATGGCAGATCTGGAGATAAATCTCACATGAGAAAAGTTCAGCTCTGAGGCTCCGTCCACACTAATGCGTTTTGAAAACACATCGTTTTCTCTCCATTTTGGCCTCCCATCCACACCGGATGGCGCTTTCCCCAAGGAAAAACGCAGCGTTTTGAAAACGCTCTGGAAAACGAATACATTTGAAGACGGTGCGTTTGCGTCGCAGTGTGGACAGTGAAAACGCAGACTTTCGAAAACGATGACGCATTTTAGTCATGTGATGCACTCATGTGACTAATTAAACAAAGATAGCGGAGGGCATTATACAGCAGTTGTTTTATTTGCTCTCAATTTTGACAGCCCTTTTAAACATTAATATCAGTTTGTACATGCTCCAGATAGCTTTTCTTCAAATTCTTTAATTCTCACTCGCTTTTGCAACTTTGTACTTTTGTGTTACTTGCAGCAACATCTCCACCTCATTGTTAGTCCATTTGAAAAACTCGGTGCTTTTCCTCGACATTTTGCCGCGACATTTCAACGAGCCGGAAAGTAAATAAACGGCTGACAGAAATGAGGCAGGCCGAATCTTCTTGCGCTTCATGCATGCGCGGTATTGGAACGTAGGCGTTTTCTGCTGTTTCAATGTGGACGCACAACTCTGTGAAAATGACTGAAAACGCTACTGTGGACTCCGAGCGTTTTTCAGACGAAAACGCTGTTTTCAAATCTATCCGGGCTAGTGTGTAGCCTGAGTCAAAGTCCACAACTAAATCTCTAACGCATTGGCTTGTTTTTCAATGGATCTGTCTGTATAAAGACTGGAAGACATGTAATGTTGAGGCATTTCCTTGATGTTATAAAATACCGGTATTGGTCTAATTTCAGTCCTTTGCTCTGAATATGGTACTTGTTGTTGGTAACTCTTAAAGATGAAATTTTTACTTCACTGTGTATTAAACAATGAAGAAAAATGGACCTCCTTATAGCTTACATAGATTAAATAACAGGTTGCTTACCCGCCTGGTTACCTGCCAAAATAGTTTTAATTGGTGTGGAGATGTCCTGAAAACCTTAGTTTTCTGCATTAAGGCCCTGTGTGAATGTACCTCCTGAGCTGACAAGCCCTGACATGTCTTTGAAGTGAAGGAGGAGGACTAAAGATGTGCTGTGTACAGTAATCCTCTATGATTACATTTTTGCTGAAATACGCTGTTATTAATACTTATATAATCACTAAAATATTTCTCTCTTGGAAATTAGAGTACCAGCATAAGAATTCAATTCAATTCAATTTTATTTATATAGCGCCAAATCACAACATAAGTCGCCTCAAGGCGCTTCATCCCAAATTGATGCTAATATTATGGGATGCTTGACAGTGAATTTAATTTTTTTGTGTGTGTATGTGTATTGTAGAGTTTTTCTATTCAAAAGAGGAAACAGGTCCTGCTTCCATGAAACAGAACATTTCTTCACATCGTTGTATAATTACCTTGTCGGCTGCTGTCACCGCTGCATCCAGGAAGATGTTCTCTTTTCCTGTTGGGTTTTTTTTTTTTTTTGTTATGGTCTGTGAGCAGCACCAGGATTTATCTCAGGTCTGCTTCATGCATAAAGTGTAATTCCTTTGCAGTGTTTGAAGTTTTATAATGCAAAATACAGTTGAGGATCTAACTTCTAGTTTCATGCTCATGGAAATCCGATGTCAATGCTGGATGAATGATATGAGGACTTGACCTGTCACTTTTGCAATGCAATATATAAAATTCAGAGCATCATACCTGTACAGTGGAGGTTGAACATGTAGGACACAAGTCAGGGGCAAGAGACCGTTCGCCTTCCAAGTAAAAGTTGTGATGTTTGAAATGTGTTTATTCATCGGTAAAACTGAGAAAGAGTTACATTTATGCTTACTGCTTATTCTTAGCAAGCAAGTTGGGGAAAAATGCAATTAAATTAAATCCTTGATGTTTGTCCTTCACACGAATGATGCCACACCTGTAACTGTGAAGCTTTTGTGTAGGTTAACAATATCAGTATTTCAGGTTGTCTTTTAACTGTAGCAGGTGTTTCCTGGCTTAGAATAGGCCTTGCTGTTGAATAAGTCTGTTAACTTATTCAACAACATTCATGCGTGTTTCTACCCTTTGAAACATTGTTAAATACTAATGTTGTTAATAAACGAGTGCATAATTCCCAGTAACACAAATTTAAAACATTTTTTTTAATCTGATCCACACAAATATTTATTTTGTTAGGATTAGGTCACTCTACCTGTGACCTGGACACGCTTTAGAAAACGGACAGCTCAGTGTCAGACTGTCAGTTTGATAAAGTAGGAAATGTGTGTTGAGTCACTATCTCTTCTGTGAAACACTGCAGAGGCGTTTCTGATACAATCATGTGATCACCTCAGGCTTGAGGGTATCACAAGGTTGGTAACAGCTACATTGATTTTATGTAAAGTTGATGTAAATCAGCTTACAGTTTACTCACAGATGTAATCTCAGTGTACCGGGAAGTGGACATGTTTGTTTTTTTTGTTTTTTTTTATGGACATGTTAAACATAACATGAGTGCTATACTCTAAAACAATAGAAGCCTCTTTCTTCCACCAGCAGTTCTCCCCACAGAGCAGATGCCCTGGTTAGATTTTTTGGAAGATGCTGCTGCATTAAACTGCATATTAATAAGGTAAACTTAATTCTCTTGAACTACTTTGCTTTAAAGTGTGGAGTTCATCTAAGTGCAGTTTGTTTTTGTGTGTAAAGATATTAACACAGAAACCTGCTGCTTAAGTGTGGCAATTCAGACTACTTCTTGCATAGTGTAACCCTCAGCTGATTAAATTATTTGGCTTATAAATTACCATGTACGCTTATTTATGGTGCCCATTTTATTCTGTATGGGACTTCAATGTATTTACATTTTGTTTTCAAAGTTTAAAAGGTGTGAAATTATCTTCCATTCAATTAAACTGTGTCCACACCAGAAGTGATTTGCTGCACTGTAGTGACCAGAGATCACAGAATGTACATATTTGGCAACGCAAAAGTGGACGGGACCTGAGATAAACTTTTCTCAACTTACAGCAAATGACTGAAGGGGCTACCAGTGAAAGTGTCAAATGTCATATTTGTCATAAGACCTAGTGGTAAATAAGGTAGAGGCTTACTAGACAAGATGGACCTTGTGATTTCCACAAGTGATCATCATCAGTTTCAAAGCGATGCACAGTGAGTGAATGGTTTTCTGTGTGCATATGAATCCTTGTTTACTCAAGTTCTGTTTCAACTGTGGTGTAAAAATTTTCAAAAAGGAACGAGGGGCAAACTTATTGATGGCATTTAAAAGCAGCTGGAGATGAATGGTTCACGTTGGGTTTTCAGACAGACAGGAAAAAAAGGAGAGAACTGAATAGAAGCTTAACACTCGGTGGTTAATGCTGACAATATGTTTTGATTCCAGCTTACTTTTCCACTGGCTGCAGATATTTGTAGGTTTCTAGCACAACTCTATTTCCGCAAGTAACATAAGGGGAAACTTGTTGTGATCCACCATTACCAACTACATTACTAAATCTATTTGCGTCAGTAATACTAGAAAAGGAACACTTAAGGTGGGTACAGTGTGCCCTTATTATTTTAACACCAGCCTTTTATCCTCTGTTGTGCTTCTGTTTCAGAGCAAGTCTAAACAAACACATGGTTTTTAGATGTGTCATATTTAAAATATTTGCAGAGAAACATTCAAAATCAAGAGTTCTGCAGCAGTAAATCTTGTTCTAGGTCTATTATCATATATAACGATTATGGGTGGGAAATTACAATAAAATCAGAGTGTTTATTGTCGGGACTTGCATGCAAGTGTTCATTTTCCTTGCCACAACAATGAGCCACTTGCAGTAAAATACAACGTATAAATATACAACCAAATTCCTGTTAAGAAACATTTTTTGATTAGAAATATCCCAGTGGGAGATAAATGTTCAGCTGAGGTCATTATTAATTTGACTTGGAGGTTAGGAGGAGTAGATGCAACACGCATTTTTTGATCTGGCTACAATGTATCAGCCTTTAAAAAAAACAAACAAAAAAAAACTGGAGCTGAATTGGTGTTGGTGTGACAGAGTTTGAATAATGGCATGCATGCAGGGATTATTTCCTCCTGGAGACGCGTGTTTCCCGTCTGTGAATGTCAGGTGAAAGACAGGAAGCCAAGCGGTGACACACAATGCAGCGCTGGTATGAAAACACTGAACCGTGAAGCGGTGATAAATCAGGAACTCTGACGAAGACGGAGAAAAGGCTTCATCTTTATCGTGATAGATTAACAGCCTCGAGCAAGTTACAAGCCCGTGGAAATTATTTTTCATGCTATAAAAAATAAACAGCAGCAGAAGGGGGAGGGAAAAAAAAAGCAGCATCTAAGACAGTTGCCCTACTTTTAACCTGGACAAGTGAGTGTGTTCATCAGGGTTCAGAGCTTGAACCCAGTCAATGAGGTAGGGAACCCACTGACACGGTCATGCTGCAGGCCTCACGGTTTCAGCTGTAACAGATACCGCCATCGTGTCATTTGGATAACCAGGACAGTTTGCTGTGTGGACACAGACATGCAGGAACACTAGGGTATGCAGTTCTGTGTGAACGAGAACAATATCAATAAGTGCATTGTCTTGTTTGGTAAACAGAGCATTAAGTGTGTGGACATAGAGTGGTAGTGACACAGAACCATCATAGCTACATGACAGTGTTGCCCCATTATTTAGACTGCACAGATAACACAGGAAAATTAAATTTAAAGTTAAAGCAGGGTTGTCATATTAAGTTTAACCAATGGCCACACAGAGAAATGGGAATCGGATCAAGGTTCAGACATAGATTAAGCCTAATCGCAGACCGTCAACACAGGTTTTCATTGAGTTTTTCGTTTAGACTGGGCCTAGGCCTAATCCATGTCTGGGAAACCTGCTGATGCAGTTTATTCGAGGTTTTTCCAGGCTCAAATGAGTCTTTAAGGGTATTTCATAAAGGCATGATTGATCCACATATACTCAAAACTAAGACCCGTCAATTTGCCAAACAAAAATGACATTTTTAATCTTGAGTTTAGTAAACCCCACTGAAAACACAGTATTGGTGATTTTCATTTGGTGGAAACCCAAAACTACTTTGGTCTGTACTGGAAATTTCAGAACTAGTTGACAGGAACAACAGATGATTCCCAAATTTTCATATACAAGACAGTGACTTTTCTGCACGAGGCATATCTTCCTATGAGAATTAGTACTTCTAAACTATGATTCTACTTGGACTGTTGAGGAAACGTTTTGTGTGTTTGTATCCCCCCCCCCTTTTTTTTTTTTTACTTTTATCTGTTTGTTTGTGGTGGTGGTGGTGTTGATGATGATTGATTGAAGTGTACATGCTAATTTATCAGGGCAAACATTTTGACACTTAGAAACCTTGTTAGTAAAAAATAGATGTGAAAGGAAATTGGGCCGATGTTGGAGATGCTTTACACTTTTCTCAACTCCAAGGCATGCCTTATCTGATAGAGAACAACCCATGCATTTAATTTCTTTTTGCAGTATTCTGATATTTCTTTCTTTGTAAGGGACTGGGGCTCATCGGAAGAATGTCACCGTCCTTCGGTCTGTGATTCAGTTTTTGCTTTCACACCTCGACCAGCTTTGACCTGAGAGAGAGTCACGGTTTCAGCCACGTATGCAGGATTTCTGTTCTCAGGATTATTTTTACATGCAAAAAATAGCCTCTTTTCCACCAGCACCTACTCAACGTGACTCTACTGAGTTTCGATTGTTTTCCATTATAATTGATTACTACCTCAATGTGGGTGGGTGGTATTATAGCAAGGTCCTGTGACATTTTTATGCAAAACAAACACAAAAATGGAGGGCACTTGTGCGTAGCCATTTTCATCATTTCCAGGTTTCCACAAATGACTGGTTTTATTCCTGAAAGTTGCCCTCATGACTCATTGACTGACGTCACTCCCTGGCCAATCAGTGGCGTGCAGTCTGTTGATGGCACATTTTCGGCTCGACTCGGCTCACTTGGAAATCCGTTCGAGTAGGTACTAAAAAAGTACCTGGTACCAGGTTGTACTACCACCTAATGGAAAAACCTAAAAACAGTCGAGTGAAGTAGGTGCTAGTGAAAAAAACGGGCTTTAGTGAGCGAACATCTAGCTGACAGGAAACGAGGTGATGGGAAAAACATGAAATCATGTGTGCAAACCAAAGTCACCACCTTAATGATTGAACCATTCGGGTAGGTTAGATGTCTGGGTAATTGAACCTCAATCTGAGGCTCACGTGTGAAAATGTTAGTGGCAGAAAAGTATATTTCCTCCATTTCAATTAAACAATAATTGAGTGAAATGCTACAGTCTTCCCATTATACTGGAGGCTAATATATGGCTGATGATGCTACAAAAATAATCCTTTTATGTTAGGCTGTTATGACTTAAAAAAAAAATTATGAAGACAAAGAAAGTGGCTGGCCTATTTTTGGGTCCATTCCCACTTTAATTAGTCACAGCGTCTTGAATATGAACTCTGTCTTTCGCTCCTTCTTCCTTGGAGGGTTTTGTAAAGTTGACAATCATTCACAGGCTGTCATTAACCTAAATAATCACCCGGCCAGTGGAGAGACAGCCCAGATGTAAAGGCTGTTGGCAGTCAGTTGAATGTCAGGAGTGCTGTTTAGTTTGTATCCTAAAGCTGTTTCATTTCTTTAAGTCTCATAGAAACGAGCCAGAGGGATGATGGGACATTTAAAACCTCCTTATAACTGTTCTGTGGTCTGCAGCACAGTTAACCTCACTATAGCTACAATTTTTAACATGGCTCTTCCTGCTTGTTTCCTAGGAGACAGCGGGAAGGTGACAACAGTCGTGGCCACACCGGGTCAGGGACCGGACCGCCCGCAGGAAGTCTCCTACACTGACATCAAGGTGAGAAAGAAAGAAAAACTGAAGCTCTATGAAATTACAACTTTCTTTTTCCAAGTCTTCTCCTCATTTTTGTTTTGTCTGTTGAGGATGGTTTTACTTAGTTGCTGCATATTACACACACAGTTGTGAACAGCACATGTAAAGCCCCCAGTCTATGTAGCAAGTAGAGACCAAACACACTTGTGCAGAACCAAATGCTTATACGTCTTCTTTGGTTTCTTTTTGATTTTTAAAAATCAGAACAACACAATTTCAGTTTTCTTGAAACTAAAAGAAAATGTATCAAAATCAAACCACTTTTAAGGATTTCTGACTGCTTCTTAGTAGCATCCAGGTTTTTCCCCGCTTTTCTCCAAGAGCAAAATGAATTTATAGTTTATGTAGTTTGTAACAATGAGAAACTGAAGTTGAATCAAACAGTTGGCGAGTACAGTGCGCTTGTCCTCCATTTGTCATTGTTGGTGACGCCACCAAAACATCCAGTCTGTAGGAGAGTTTCAGCTGATGGGTCATCATGATACAGCATCAAGGAGATTTTTCACTGAAGCTGAAATATTTTCAACCCACACAGATGCATTATTGCCACTTTTCTTATTGTCTAACAGAAATTTTTGGCAAACCAAATCGTGCATAAACTTTGTATGCAATCTCAGCAAAAACTGCCCTCGTTTGGTATGACAAGGGCGTTAAAGACGTTAAATGGGATCTGTCGTTCTTATTTCCAACTTTATATTTTTATTGGATTCTTGTGATTAGTTTTTGATGAGTTAGTTTTCATGAGTTTTTAAACGTCACAGGTTTTAGTCCTTGAGGGCCAGTGTCCTGAAACTTTTAAACGTGTCCAGCTGCAACACAACGGAATAAAATGAGTAGGTCATTAGCAAGACTATAGAACTTGACTGCATGCTGAGGTGGCAACCCCTAACCTAACTCAAGTAAATTAAAATACCTGTGTTTGGAAAATTGTACTCCTAAAAGTACTTTAATTGCACCATGTTCATTCACTCATGAGCTACTGTAACATCACCACCTCAGCATGAAGTTTCAGAACACCGGCCCTCAAGGACTGGAGTTTGACACCCATCCTATAGAGCTACCAGTGGAACAATCTGAATCCTGAGCTTTTGGCTCACAGGGATAACTCAAACATTATTTGAAACTTTAATCGCTGCATGTGGAATTAATAAGGGTATTGATCAATGCTGATATTTCCATAATTATTCTGCCAAGCCATAAAAATGCATGATTTTAAAGGCGCACATTCTTTTGCTTGTGTCTTTGGAAAAAATGACATAACTGTGTCAACTGTAGCCTGAAACTACATAAAGAAGAGTGTTGCACTGAGCCAGGCTGTTATCACTTTTAAGATTACTTAATGGCTCTGTAGGTGTGTGTAAATTCAGATTTATCACACTTTTATCACAAAGCCAATAAAATCGTCGTTTAGGCTTATCAGAAATACTTAACTTGTCTGATGCCTGCAGCAGTGGAACGTTATCATTATATTTGTATAATTTGGCAAGAGTCTTAAGCAGAAACAAAATCTGACTACAAACATCTCACTGTGCTTAATCGCCATTTTAAAAGCTGTAATTTTAATACCAAAGGATTTAAATGGGAAAATTGCCAAAGAATTTTGATTTATTCATGTACTGTTTCTGTGCTCATGTCTGACTATCCATCTATCTTTTGTGAAACAGTCACAAGATTTAATCTATTAAAACATTTTCTTGATCATTAATTTCCCCTCTTATTTATTTTTATAAACAAATTTTCTATATATGTCCACATAGTTATTTCACAGAAGAAACTACTACTTCATTAGTTTTATAAGAATAGGCTGAGTTAGGATTAACAAAAAAGGAAGATTGTTTGGATTTAAATACATAAGTTGCCATTTTATAATTTAAATTTTGTGGTTGTTAGAGTGACAGATCTCCACTGAAGAGCCATCATATGCGCCGTAGGCTTGAAAAAGACTTTCAGAAAAAATCAGACTATCAGTCAAAGATGGATAGAGCCAATTTATTACTGTTAAAAGAATGGAAACACCAGCAGCTGCAGCTTTCAGGAAATTAAATAAACGTTTGTGGTTGATCACCTGATGGGCTGTCCTTCAGTCTGACTCTCCTGTTCTGTTAAAACCTTGCAGGTCATTGGCAATGGGTCGTTTGGTGTGGTGTACCAAGCTCGCCTCATCGACACACAGGAGATGGTGGCCATCAAAAAGGTTCTGCAGGATAAGAGGTTCAAGGTAGGCGTGCAATTTAGTTTCTGTAATAATCTTATCAATGGCACCCCCCTCACCCTCCTTGTTAATAGTTTTCGTGATCACTTTGTTTACTTGGTTTCCCTCATTGACTCATGTGTCTGTTTGTCTGTACAGAATCGGGAACTACAGATCATGAGGAAGTTGGACCACTGCAACATTGTCCGATTACGTTATTTCTTCTACTCTAGTGGCGAGAAGGTAAAAAAAACCAAAAGAGTCATGGTACAGACTACTCTAAAGAGAGCTGAAAGAAGAGATGGTGAAACAAAACTAACATAAGTTAAGCTATGGTTTATAAAAAAAATAGACATAAAATAATTAAACCTCTCTAAACTCCCAGTAGTTTCAGTATGTCGAAACTATAAATAAAAGGAAATGGTGCATGTCCATAATACATATACAGATGCTCAGATATAGCATTAAAAAATAACCCAACCCTAAAAAGGGGAAGCAATTAGTTTCTTTTACTGATAAATATAGAATCTGATTTAATGTTGCAGAAGTAACTTACTGGAAATGTTTTGTATCAGCGTGCGAGGTTATGCCAGGCTTGTCTGTCTGTTTGCTTAGCTGTCTTAAACCATAAATGCTTTAACTACAGTTACCTTTGTGTCAATCCCTCCATCCTTTGCAGAAGGATGAAGTGTACCTCAACCTCGTGCTGGACTTTGTCCCCGAGACGGTCTACAGGGTTGCCAGGCATTTTAACAAGGCCAAGAGCATTATTCCTATCATATATGTGAAGGTAATTCTGCCCCTAATTTCCTTCCAAAACATTTCCATGTTGTCCAAGTCACAGTATTTTTCTGTTGAAGTTTTTATTCTCCAAAAACTTAAAACATTGTAAAGTTCAGAATTTCCTTCTTGTTTTCAAGAATCTTCTCAGGTCTCCAGTACAAATACCAAGCTTTATGCTATTTATGCCTCTTAATAAATTATTTCTATGTTGTCTGATTTTTGTATTTTGTGTTGACCTCCAACAGGTGTACATGTACCAGTTGTTTCGCAGTCTGGCTTATATCCATTCCCAAGGTGTGTGTCACAGAGACATCAAGCCCCAAAACCTGCTCGTCGACCCAGAAACTGCCGTCCTAAAGCTGTGTGACTTTGGCAGGTACGCTAAACCAAAAAAATTTCCACACAAATCAGAACTTAATTTATCAGTAGTAGCAGGATTACGTTTATCTGCCTTTTAAGTATATATATTTTTTCTGAAATCTAATATGGGAAGAATAACAGCATTTCTAATGCTTAACACTTAGATTCTGTTCTGTGAATCAAGTTCAACATGCATAGGACTGCAAACAGTCTGAACAGGGTAATGAAGGTGGTTGTCACCTCACTTCAACTCATCTAATCTAGCTATGAGCACATTCATGTGAAAGACTTGGAGTTTGCTGCATGTGATTAATTGGAAACGAGGACACGTCAAGGGCTACTAGAGCATTATACTTCACAAAGGAAAAGCAAAGAGTAATGTTGTAAAAATACAAAGAAGTTAACCATAAAACAAGGCAAGGCAAGTTTATTTGTATAGCACAATTCAACAACAAGGTGATTCAAAGTGCTTTAGAGACATTAGAAACAAGAACAAATAAAAAGCATGATTTAAAATTGATTAAAACAAGCAAATAAACTAACTAATTAACAAGCAGAAAGTAACAAACAGCTGCTGTAAACGTGTGCTGAGAAAAGCCCTGTACAGAGTGTGAAGTATTAAACAGTGATGTATGGTTGCATGTGTCTTATATTGGATCCAGAAATGACAGCTGGCAAAAACTCAAGTTTAGCGTCAGGAACACGGCTCTGTTTTTATTTTTGGTAGTATTTTATTTTTTTATTCAAATGCTTATTTTTCTGTTTCACAAGCACACACGTCTCTCCCAATAGCCTTTCTCCTGCACTCAAGCTGCATTACTGATCTCCTCTTCAGTATCTGCAGATGATGATCAGGCATTTGATTGAAGATCAGACTTTAATTACAATGTTTAATTAGTTAAATTAAGACGTTGTTAAATGAAAGGACTCATATGGTGTGTAATAAAGTGTTAATCTTGCTCTGCCCAGTTGTGTTAATCTGTCTGATAGAAATAAACTATAATTCAAAACAGCAAATGGCCTGATTGCAAATTTTATAAAAGTCATCAAGTACTCTTTTAAGATTATATTGCTTTATGAATGTTTGTATATCATAAAAATTGTTTTCAAATTTTGCTTGCTGACAGAAGGGGAAGGTAAAGGAAAGAAGTTAGTCCTCAGAGTCTATATTTCTCTTTGATGCTCAGGGAAATATAAAAACTTCCGACCCTCTTACTATCTGCACACAGAGGCATCTTCCAGGAATAGTGTCACTATTTTCCAGACAACTGAGTGCTCAGTAGGGAGTCGTTTGGTATATATTGATCTCCTATCTTTCTGTTTTTTCCTGCCGTCTTTGTTACCATTTAACGTGATTCTTGTGCTTCCTTCAGCGCAAAGCAGCTTATCCGGGGTGAACCAAATGTGTCGTATATCTGCTCACGGTACTACCGCGCCCCAGAGCTGATTTTTGGCGCCACAGACTACACAGCAAACATCGACATCTGGTCAGCTGGCTGCGTACTGGCAGAGCTGCTGCTCGGACAGCCCATATTCCCCGGCGACAGTGGAGTGGATCAGCTAGTGGAGATTATCAAAGTGAGTTGTTTGTTTGTTGTTTTGTTTTTTCATTTAAGTCTTTCTGCAGCATTCATTTATACTATTAAAATGTAGTCTTGCAAACACTCTGTTTGAAGTAAATGTCTTATCCTCCTCTTCTGTTCTCAGGTGTTAGGAACACCAACAAGGGAACAAATTCGAGAGATGAATCCAAACTACACAGAATTCAAGTTCCCTCAGATCAAAGCGCATCCTTGGACCAAGGTAAATAACACCTGAGGACGAATAACAGCAGCACAGTCAGTTTTCTCCAGGTCTATGCTCTCTGGAAGCAGGTGCACTGTGAATAAGACCGATCTTTTGTCTGAAGTGAGAAATAAAAGTTATCACAGTTTCATCAAGTAAATGAAAAATGTTATGTTGGTAGTTTCTTGTTAATTGTATTGATGGCACTGACTTAGACGTCAAGTAACAGTCCCAAAAAATGAAGTATTGTTGTTCATAATGTTAAAAAGAAAATGGCAAAACCAGCAGTTACAGCTTTTATACTTTTTCAGACTAAATGAATCATTTCTGCAAAAGTAAGTTTTAGGAAATGATTTAAAAGTAGATGCAGAATTTGCTAACCTCGGTTCTTTTGCAAAACAGTTCCTCAACTGCAGGGTGTCTAAATTTCCTTTAGTCTGACCTGAGGAACCTGGGCAGTGACTCAGTTTTTGAAGGGGAGTTGATGTGTAATATAGTCGGTGAGCCCATGAAAGGCTTTACATTTAAAAGTTTAAAGTCAGTTCTGTATCTTAACTGGTAGCTACTGTAGTGTAGCAGGGATAGGAGTCATTTGGTCTTTGGTGTCATTAAGTGTATTTTTCAATTGAAGTCTCGTTCAGTTTGGGTGCCCAACGTCCTCTGTAAGCCTCCTTTATGGTTACTGCAATGGTATGCATGACATCATCACAGCCCTGGGAATATTTACATTGGTGTTTGTGGCACTCTGGACTTGCTAGTTTTCTCCAAAACAGTAGGTGTTGCAACCTTTTCACCAGCGCTGGTGCAGAAGAAGTCAAAACAGGAAATGAAGCAGTCACAGAGGTTTTCTCCAGCATGTCTCATATTTTCCAGCTGTTGCAGCTTCTCTCTGTGTGCATTGCTATATGTTGCTGTAGAGCTGTAACACACTCGTAGACATGGCACCAGGTTAGAAAAACTCAGATACCAAAGCACGGGGCACCTACAGCTAGGACATCATTTTTGTTGATGTACCAACTGCTGCTTCCAGTGCAACCATAAAGTGCTGCCACTCAGAAGCAATCATTAGGCTCATCTTTATTGGTAGGTTTATTGAATTTTAAAGCCCTATAATTTATCTTTTCCCTTAAAAAAAGGACCTAAGGAGGAGGAGAGTAGAAAACCTCTTTTAGGTGCACAAGTTTATTAGAGTAAAAAAGAGAAATCCTGTGGTTGTGAGGATGAGGCCACATGGACTTGAGGTGTTTTTAATGTTTGATTAACTGAGATATACAAAAAGTATATACTCAGCATGCAGCCAAGAGAAGAATCCCTTGTAAATTTACTACAAAGCAGCTGGCTCTACTTCAAAAGCAGCTGGCTCTACTTCAAAAGCTGCCTGCTGTTGCCTTTGTAGATGCAGAACTCCTGCATAGAAATGACTGTGTCTGTCATTTTGGGTTAACTTTGGGTTAACTTCCAGAATGGAAGAAACCCTGCATTGCATGACACTGGTTAAACATACTGCCATATGGAGCTTGCCAGTATGTTTAACCAATGTCTTGCCAGTATCAAAACATGTTGCTTGATGTCGGAATTTTTGAAGAAAAGCTCTCGTATTTCCTCAGGTGTTTAAACCTCGCACCCCTCCAGAGGCCATTGCGCTTTGCTCTCGGCTGCTGGAGTACACGCCAGCCTCACGCCTCTCCCCGCTAGAGGCCTGTGCACATGCCTTCTTCGACGAACTGCGCCAGCCAAACACGAGGCTGCCCAGTGGACGAGAACTGCCGATGCTCTTCAACTTTAGCACCACAGGTAGCAGAGTTAAAGTCTCGTTTCCTTCCCTTTTTTCTTTGCTAATTGTTCAGCTAAGTTGTAGCTGCTCTGCCTGATGATTCTATGTCTGTAACACGACTTTAAAGTCAGTTTGTTCTGCGACTGCTGAGGTGTTCCGGTTAATTCAGTATGCCTCTTTTGTTCTGTTGAATGACACTGCGCTCTCCTTATGACTCAGCGCTAAATAAAAACTCTCCTTTTATTCTCTGCAGAGCTGTCGATCCAGCCTCAGCTGAACTCAATCCTCATTCCTCCTCACGCTCGCTCTCACACAGCTGCTTCTGCACACGGTGGGAAACTCTTATTGTAATTTTACTGACACTGCCAATAGCAGGCTTTTCTGCCAGCTGAGAGGAAAAAAACTGAAATATATTTTTATATTTTACCTTTTTGATTTTATTTTTTTAAATCCAGACACTGAAGAATTAAAACTCTTAAAATTGTCTTTATATTTTTGAAAACCATCTTTATATTTCATGGAAACATTTTAATAAGCACACCTTATTTAAGTCCCATCCTTGATGTCCCCATCAACATCGTATATTTGTATAAATTTGAACACCTCTGTTATTTTTAGTTGATACAACTCCTTAAAATGCCTTGTAGGGAATTAAACTCATTCACCTGAAAAGTTTATGATGGCCATTTGGTAAAATTGAGCCAGGCTGCACAAAATTCTCTAAGTTTAAATGCCTTAAATTAGTTCTTCAAAAGTCTTTCAAAAATATTATGCTGTTTGTACCTCTCAGCAGTAAAAATCTTATGGTTTTGTTGTCACCCTGCCGGGTGGGTGGGCGGTCAGCATGGACACCAAAGTTTGTAAATCCGATTACTCGAGAAGGAAGTCGCCTAGGACTTTCAAATTGAAACTTAAGCTACTGTTTTGTACAGATTTAAAATAGATGCAAAGTTGATTTTAAGGCCTTAAGAAGTTTCTGAAGATCTTAAGAGTCACCTTGTGTATTTAAAAAAACAAACAAACATAAATCTGACATAAATAGTTTGAAATAGAAAGTTTGGGGGAGCGGGTGTTTTTATTTTGTTTTTTCTCTCCTGACACAAGATGGCAGCACTATGCATAAAATTTCAGACTGATTATTTTCTATTACTCTGTCTGATGTTTACTGCTCTGTAAAGCTGTAAAGCTTCAATTTAAAGCTCACTGTACCTTTTTGTCTCTTCTTCCTCTCCCCTTCAGATGGTACCGGTTCAGATTCATCTCAACACAGTTCAGTACCAGGATCTCTCAACAGCATCTGAAGCAGCTTCTCACCCATCTGCCTGCAAAGCATCACCCCGTTTTCTCAGACAAACACACACTCTGTGTCCACAGCTGTCCACCATGCTGCTTTGCTATCTTCTTCCATGGTCTGTTTCTGTACAGTAAATCCACTGAGCAAACCCTTCGTTGTTTAGGTGTCAGGGTCGAAACTACGGCAGGAGATTGTTACACACACACACACACCGAATCGTCCCGCTGCTGCTCGGGTGGTTTTAGAAGGTTCAATAGTCGGGGCTGGTCCTCTGTATTATAAGCTTTTGTTAACCATTTTTTTTCCTTTTTGTTTTCTTTGTTTTTATTTATTTGGCTAGGTAAAATCATTATATACCTGTTTTTCCCCCCCCCCTCACTTTTAAGATTATTTTTTTATTCAGTGTTTTTAAATGAGTGCACGCTGCCTGAACAAGACTAGAACTGGGCCCCTCATCACAGGTCATCACAGTAGGACTTTAATATAACTCAGGATGGGAGAACAGTTGCAGGGACACTGACATTATTTTAGTCCAGTCCTCTACCTAAGTTACAAATCAAACCTTCAGCTGTTGTTGTTTTAGCTGCAGATGGAAGAAAAAAAACATGCCAGTGCCAGAAAAATGTCAGTTTGCCTCATGTTGGAAACGAGCATCCTTACAGGTGTGTCTGCTAAAGGAACTAAACGCTTCTCTGACTAAACTATATATACCCAACAAGGAAGGAGTCTTAATTTTTTTGTGGCTCGAGACCCTTTCTCAGTTTTTAACCATGTTTTTACTTTTAAAATTAGGTCCCACATTGTCGGCCACAGAGGCATATTTGTAGGAAAGGGCACTTAAGTGCAACTCGAAAAGAAGGCATCACTTTTCAGGAAATTGTTTTAGACCTATTAGGGTTGGGGGAAAAGAAATGGCCTCCTCAGAAATGTTTCTAGATGGCTGGACAGAAGCGTGGCTGCTCGTTCTCCTTCTTCACAGGTAATTTGGCTGCGTTCGCCTGATCATGAAATGTCAGAAAAGGTTCAGACAGTAC